GGCAGAGAAAATTAGACATATATCCGATGTTGACAAGGGCCCGATGGCGATCGACGGGGCGGTGTCTCCTTAAGCTGCTGGGTAATTTTCAAGCTTTGGTATAAACGTGAAAAAAAATCTCGACCATATTGCAACCGTATAAGGCTTACTTTCGTTTTTTTTTAACAACAAGTATTTATATAATTTTAATAATTTCATGTTTTTGATATTGTTTTATTTTTCATTCATAATTTCTGTTTTGTTGTGCACGTAAATCCGTTATTGTAATAATTATCCGTAATTTGGTTTCGCAGGAAGAAAGTTCTGTTACAAATAAGCAGTACCTTTTGTTTGTGCTTTCCTTGTTACTAAATTTTAGTAGGACTTAAACGATATGAAACACCACCATGGAATATTACAAGCGTTATTACCATTTTTGGAGTCCAAAGTATCATAATAAGGCATTTCTTACACTTACCACACCCTCTAAGCACTTCTCTTCTGTATTTATTGTTCTGTGAGTTAACCTTTACCTAGACTACCACCGTTCATACTGTTAATAATGAAAAAAAGAGGAACACGTTTCAGCTATTTCGACAAAATAGTGAACGTAGTTCTGACAAAATACGAATATATCACGATTAACATCTCGACGACTTAGGTCAAGTGCGGGTGAAACGTGAGTCAATTAGAGTTCATGAAGCCACTATTACTGTTGACTTGTGACTCAGGATCTAATGGTTACTACGGACAATTTTGGAATTATAACGATGAAATGATTAAGCAAAATGGAGAGAATGGTAATATTTTATGAAAAATAGTGACAGATACAGAACACGTATATCGCCATGAATAAGATAGAATGCAAAAGACCGCCATATCCTGGCTTAAAAAAAAACCGACCTCAAACGTACGTGGAATTACGTCTATTTGCTAAGTTTTATTGAAATATCCCCTAGTTCGTCACTTACAGGACTTGACACTGGAGATAATAATAATCGGTTCTCACTACTCAATATATTGAGAGAAAAAAACGCCTTTAATTGGAGAAGTAGCAAAATCAACCATACAAATAATTGCTTCTAAATTAAAGTTAGGCGCTATTTATAAAAATGAATCTTCATGCGTGAACAGCCACTTTTAAAGGTGGATGATTTTCTTCAAAATAAAATGTGACCACTATGGAAGTACCCCCTTTCCAACAAAAAAAAGAATCATGCAAATCGGTTCACATATACCGGAGTTATCGCGTAACATACATACAAAAAAATAGAAAAAAAAGAACATGATGTCGAATTGAGAACCTTCTCCTTTTTTGAAGTCGGTTAATTATAATTATCATAATACAGAAAGCTTGCCAGAAGTTATTTCATATATTGTTATTGTAACTACTACTAAATATAAAATATAGTTAGCGGATTGCGGTCTAAAACCTAACTTAAGAAGAGCCCCGTACCCAGAAGTGTGACGTATAGGTTGACGATGACGAGTATAGTTATTTATCAAAGGATCTTTAGGTGTCGGAGCTCAACAAAGAATGGCAAACGCCTCATGCGTGGTTTTTGGTTGTGCCATACTTGGTACGTGTTTACTTTCCGATGTTTACATAAATAAACATAATAAACGCGCGGATATAGTCCGGCAAACGTGCTTGAGGTGTGATCGTGGTTTATGCTGTAATATTATGGTATAACGTCTGTTTTGGTGTATCGGTGTAAATATTTATTTATATGCTGCGGGTAAAGTGCAAACAGCAGATCTGCGAAACAGAAAGGCCGATTGCAGATTTAGTTAATTATATTACCAGGTTGCACTCTTGGCGTAATAAGGCCACAAACACAAGTGCAAGATGACAACTTTTCAAGGGAGAGGTTTTTCACTAACGCAATTAGTAGGTGACTTTTTTATGCTTAAATATGACTTATAAAATTTCACATAATAATGAACATATTTTTTTCATGTTGTGAATCCAGCAAAGGAAATAACTGTTCACACGACAAAGTTCGACCAAGTGTGGCTCTTTGTGATTCCTTAAAAATCAGCTAGATGATAATAACAATAACGGACACACTCAACATAGTGCTATAGACACACGCATAGACAACCACAAATAACACCCAAGCTCATGAGAGAAGTAAATGTAGGCCATACAAATATTTCTCACGGCCCGGGAATCGAACTTGGCAGCTCTGCGTGGCATTCCGACATGGTAACCTATTAATAATACGATACTGTCTCAGCTCGAACCCAAAACTTTCCCATACTGAATCGGTTCTATTGCGCGGGTCTAGCCCCAGAGACACTGGCTTTATTTCAGAATTTATTTTTAACAAAAGAAATTAAAGCCTTTTTAAAAATGTATATCGTATACTATACGTGCTCTATTTAGTTTAGGTGATTTTTTTTATAACATCAAGTGACGGGACAAACAAGTCGTGCACCTGATGGTAAACTATATGCCTGTCCGTAACAGGTACAGTGTCACTCAGAGCTTTAAATTGCAAAGATCTGAGGAGGTGGTAGTGACCACTGCGGCCGTCACCAGAGACATAAGTTGACAAGTCTCATGTGCCTGCAATTTCACCAGCACCCTTACCCTTCAAAACCGGAACACAGTAATGCTGACATTACTGCTTTATATACATTGACTTACATTTATATGGACGTCGGGTCCGCGCTAAAAAGTGTCCGAACTTATAGGGCGTTAAAATCGTGTACGATCCTCATTCACGCTTTAGTCTTCGTTTGTTCGACTGACAGCGAAGCAAGCAAAATTAGACAGTACTGCGTGACATTACAATTTAAATTCAACGTTTTAGCTTTTTCATATTCCTTTACATGTCACTACGTTTAAATAGGTTGACTTGGGACATTTTTTTCGTGGTTTTTGTATTAGACCCGTCGTCCATTTATTTGTAAGTCAATGTTTATATACAAAAAAATATTAGTAAAGTACTTGAATACAGCGGTTGTCTTGTAAAATTTCGATGTAAGTTTGTGTCATATTTCTATCGTTTATTTACTATATATATTTTTTTCAAAGTGATTGATTCAAAACTTTCACTTTTTTATGCGGAATCATCTAAAGCCATTTGAGATTGTATCGGCTCTTAATGTTTGTATTGCAGTGTTAAAATTTTCACCCAAATACAGATGTTCTGACAGAATTTTGATTGCATAAAGGTGGGACCAGACGAGTGTTACGAGTTTTAAGTCGCGTAATTTATACGGTTTGTGCCACATGACGACGCAAAATGAGTTACCCGTCGACTCACTCACGTAATTATGACTGAACTTTACTGTGTGACCTACTTGTGCGGGTGTGGATGTACACATTGTTAAGCTATGACACGGTATATAAAACTGCCCACATTTCGTAAATGCATACTATTTGTAATGGATCCATTGCGGTACCATTACGGTATATGACATAAAAACTCAAACGTTTAAAATCAAACAATAAAATACGTTCGTCTGATATGTAAACAGAATTTCAGTCGAATGTAATTGTTTTTTATTTTTTTTATAACATCAAGTGACGGGACGAACAAGTCGTGTGCCTGATGGTAAGCTACACGCCTGTCCATAACAGTTGCAGTGCCACTCAGAGCCTTAAATTGCAAAGATCTGTGGGGCACTACCACTGCGCCCGGCACCCTGAGACAAGTTGACAAGACCCATGTGCCTGTAATTTCACCAGCACCCAAGCCCTTCAAAACCGGAACACAGTAATGCTGACATTACTGCTTGGTGGACGAAATAGCTAAGGTGGCAGTACTACCACCCTGGACGAACTTTTTCATAAGGATCTCTACTGCTAATTAACTATGCGACTCAAAAAACGCTACTCACAACTCACAGAATTACGTTTGTCTGGCCCTACCTTTACTATCTATACGATTACGTTCGTGGTCGAGCGGCTTCCACACTGGTTGTCATGGTCAATGTAGAGAATATTTATAATATTTAACAATATTTTTATAAATTATCAATATCGTCTCGGGTTTGGGTGTTTGTGGTACCGTCGTTGTTTCCAATCTCCATAACACAAGTGCTTTACTTACTTGCTTTGTGATCGGAGCAACGTACCTGTGATGTTGTCTAATATTTATTTATTTATCTATAGGCTAATTAGGACAAATCTGACAGCTGGCTGACATCGTTATAGAACCGTTACAATGTTATAACGACAAAGTCAGGTTTGGCAACAAAAACTTTGTCGTGGGAACATTACACCGTAGTTGGCTCTCAAAGTTTTATTGTTGATGCACCAAAATTTTTTCTCAGCATGAAAGCATTTATAACAACCTCTTATATTTAATTAGAACGCGTTACCAGTGGCATTTTAATTAACGTCAGTTTTCCTTTTTAATTTATCTTTTCAAAAGAACTTATCGGTCGGTTGTTCTAAGAGCCCAAGTCTTTTAAGGCGAAGCATTTCAACGCGAGCCTAGATTTTAGGAAGTGAGGTTTGTGGGGTCGCCTCTTATATATTGCAATCTGCGCGCTGTAAATTAATATTATGAATGAAATAAGAACACGGACAACATTTGGCACAGATTCGACGTCGACAAGCGCCCGATGGCGACAGACGGGGCAACGGAGGGCACAGCGTGTCGTTAAACCGCTGGGCGATTTGCAAATTTTGAGTTAAACGTGAATTTAATAACTAATAGGTTTTCACTTGAAAACCAATATTCAGCAGGATCTCTGTAGTAGGTACATAAAGATAAATATCTCTATACAAAAATTATGTAAAAAGTTAGATATTCTTAAATTATTCGTTTTAGACTCTTATTTTAGCCTATTTTCACTTTTTTTTGTGATCAGTTAAAGTGCATCGTGTTTTGTAACCAAATAGCACATTCTTTAGCCAATATCTTTAGGTGTATGGTATATTGTTTGTAAGATCGTTATTTAATAGTAAATACCTATTGATCTAGCAAAACAATTTATTCCGCTTCCCCTCCAATGATTCGCCTTAAAAGATAAGCGTCAAAATGAGATAAGAACCGGCTTACCTAAATTGCTCTCCGTTTGTTTTGTGAACTGAGTACTGATGTTTCTCAACTGACAGGACCTGGAAAGGAAGTTTTTTTTAAATCAGATAATCTTGTTTGTAAACAAGATGATGACAACAAAATCTGGTTTATATTCTATGGATTACTGGTGAAATTACAATGATATAGAACTAGTCAATTAACTTTGTCTTAAGGTAGCGGGCGCAGTGACAGTGCCCCTCAGATCTTTGCGATTTAACACGTTCACAGTCCATGACTCCACCTGTGGCAGTCGCAAGTGGTATATCGCATGTGTGATAAAACACCCCGTGACATATTTATTTCAGTTGATAAAGCCATGTTGATATTATTATTTTTTTTAATAGTTATTCTGAATCGGTAAGACCGTACTAGAGTCATTTGTTATTTTATCTAATTGGTAATGAACTATTACTAAAACCATCTGTTTTCTCACAGATGGCGCTACGACAAAAAAGTCAAGTTCATTCCGTGGCTTAGTTGGCATAGCGTCTGGCACGGTTTTCTGGAAGACGTTGGTTCGAATCCCGCAGGACTGAAGGATTTTTTCTAAGTGTTCGATTTTTGTATTAATAATTATAACTAGTGGAGTCATTTTAGAAAAATAATTGAATGATAATGATGTTTGACCACCATGATATTCAATAAACTTTAAATTTACAATTCAGAAAGTTCATTCACCGATATGTGAACTCGGGAGATCCTAATCAAGTGCCTATAGTATTAACCGCTGGGCCAATAAGGTTAAGTACAAAAATGCAGATACGTGTAGCTCTTGAAGAGAAGTTTTCAATTGATAACTGACTGCATGCGGGTATTGTGAAAGTGATTGATCCTTTATAAGTCTATTATGAACCATTGGAGTTACGATTAATAAAAATATATAACAAGAAACATTATCGGATCGTAGTGAATTATTTCTAAGTATTCGATCTTTGTTTAATAATTATAAAAAACTAGTGAAGTAATTTCACAAAGAATAATTGAATATCATGGCGGTTGAACATTCTAACATTCAGTAAAACTTAATTACAATTATTAAACTGACATCTCTAGTAAACGGCTGGTAGCTGTAAAGGTGCGGAAAAAACTTTCATTGATTTCCCACAGATGGCGTTACGGCAAAAAAGACGATAACAACCAAAAACAAAGATCTGCAACACATGGAAAAATTTATCAAGGCCGTGGGTTCTTTCCGTGGCATAGTTGGCATAGCGTCTGACACGGTTTGCTGGGAGACATTGGTTCGGATTCAACCGGATCGAAATGATTTTTTTTAAGCAGGACGCAGGCTAACTATTTTTAACCGACTTCAAATAAGTCTCAATTCGTCTGTGTTTTTTTTTTGCGTATGTTACGAGATTTATGAACCGTTTTCGATGATTCTTTTTTGTTAGAAAGAGAGTACCTCAGGATCCCATTTAAATTTGAAGAAAATTATTCCACCTCAAAGTGTGGACAAGTAGAGGATGAATCCGGTTTAGCGCATTTTCCGATAACCAATTTCAATAAAACTTAAGCTCATTTTGAGCATATACGTTTCGTTTATTGCACATCAGAAATGGCTTAATGTGTGAAACAGCATTCGGTAAACATTACCGTCAAGTATTGTACAGTCAACAGCTCAATCAAGCTATGCACTTTGGTTCGGATATCCGCTCCAGTACAACGGAACAAGAGCCGTCAATGTATAGCTTGGTGCGTTGCCGTCTGTACTTACCACATTTAAAGCAATAAATTACAAAATTAAATTAAAACAGAATGTGATTACGGCCATTACACGACTATACAGAACCTCAGCATGAGTGTCACCGACACACTCTTTACACTCACTGACCTTTTAGTTGTAGAGACTTAAAACCTGTAAATATGACCTGTTCCCCAGTTAGGGACGTGTAGAGATTTAAATAGTAAGTTCCTCGCCTTTCTTCTGCTTCATTTGGTTCGTTCATGGTAAAGGTCAAGTCACATAACTTCACATTAGAGTGAAACCTGGGTTACGCATTTTGAAATATTTTTTAAAGAATTTTCTTTAAAGCAAAACTTAATTAACCCTTTCATAGACAGTAACGGCATTTGTCGTAAAATTAAGTATTAGAATATAATAATAAGTATTGTTTTGCTATATGGATCTCAAAAAATCAACTATGGACTTTTTGCAGTGCAATTTTCACGTGCTTTCTGTGTAATTGCCGCTGTTTCTCCATAGAGAAGTATCGACAGCGTGCTGAAAAAAATTTATGATTTACACGCACACATTTGTCGACGTTACATTAAGACAGACGATGGACACCGACGTGCTTGTACGAGATGATATAAGTACAGTGCATTGGACTTTCTTACAGCAAAAGTAAGTTTTAAGTAATTTTTTTTAACCAACTTAAAAAAAAGGAGGCGGTTCTCAATTCGGCTGTATGTTTTTTATGCATGTTATGCGACAACTTTGTGAACCGATTTTGATCAATCTTTTTTTTGTTAGAAAGAGGGTATCTTTAAAGCGGTCTCATTTAAATTGGAAGAATATGTTCCACCTCTAAGGGTGAAATTAGGGGATGAATGACTTTTGATGTCGGTTTTTTTAGTGCTCTGTAGTGATCTTAACGGCAATCATCCTGCTACTATCATAGCCATCTGTGATAAAGATTATTAATATATTGAATCATTAATATAATCCTTAAAAAAAAGCATTGACTTACAATTATATGGACGTCGGGTCCGCGCTAAAAAGTGTCTGAACTTATAGGGCGTTAAAATCGTATACAGAGCGTCATTCACGCGTTAGTCTTCGTTTGTTCGACTGACAGCGAAGCAAGCAAAATTAGACAGTACTGCGATGACATTACAATTTAAATTCAACGTTTTAGCTTTTTCATATTCCTTTACATGTCTACGTTTAAATAGGTTGACTTGGGACATTTTTTTCGTGGTTTTTGTATTAGACCCGTCGTCCATTTATTTGTAAGTCAATGAAAAAAAGTCACATTTTTGTATGCGATACTATTTGAGTACCGTCCTTGAACGGGTTAAATATGTCTTTTATTAGAGTAAAATAACACTCAGTTGTAGAAGCAACAGAGCTCCTTGTGAAAGAGTCTGTTCAGAGAAGTACTGCCACCTTACCTATTTCTGCCGCCAAGCAGTAATGTCAGCATTACTATGTTCCGGTTTTGAAGGGTAACGGTGCTGGTGAAATTAGAGGCACATGGGACTTGTCAACTTATGTCTCAGGATCAGTGGCAGTGCCCCTTAGATCTTTGCGATTTAAAGCTCTGAACGGACGTGACATGCAACGTCCCCTTACAGGATGCAGGAGTTTACAAGCTTGACTGTGAGTGCGGTCTCTCTTATATTGGACAAACGAAGCGAAGTATTTGTACCCGCGTCAAAGAACATATAGCTGATGTCAAACACCCCGTCGCGTAAACAAGTCTGCAGTCTGCGAGCATGTCATGGATAAACCTACACATTCAATGAAGTTTGACAAAGCCCAGTTCCTAGCAAAAGAAGTCCGTTATCGACCCAGGATGCTGCGAGAGGCCATTGAAATTAAAAAACATCCTAATTTCAACAGGGAAGATTGTTTCTCCGTACCACCAGTTTGGGATCCAGTATTTTCTCTGATGAAAAATCCCAAACAGACATAAGACTGCAGTACTAATTAATATGTTTTTGTTTACTCTAATTTCTATTATTAATTAATAATAAATTGAACTTAATAAAAAATCATCTAATAAAATAATTTGTAAGACTTAATGTAGCGTAAATTGGAATGTTTTCTTTGTAAAATTTAAAATAAGATATTTAATTAATAACTATAGTGAAAAAATGGGGTGGTTTGCATTAATATTAGACATAGGTACCTGGTTGAAGGCAGTACCACCTCAGTCAACCGTGACCATGGGACCTGTAAAGGGCCCGAAACGTCGGTTTGTTTGAAAAAACAAATATACGCGATTTAAATCCGTAAAAATAGCTTCATTTCCTATGTGTAACAATCGCGAAAACCTAAGAACTCGATACACACTTTTCTTGTTATTTTTGAAAAAATACATTGAAATTACTTAAGAGATATTCACTCTAAAGTGACAATAAAATGATCCCTTTTTTAACCGACTTCAAAAAAGGAGGAGATTCTCAATTCGACTGTATGTTTTTTTTATGCAAAGAACACTATATGAGAGATGTAAGGTACAACTTTTACAAAGAATATTGAGTGACCGTACATTTTATACATGGTCGACCGTACGTAGACAAATAAGAAAACCGATTATACTAATACAGATACGCGGATAAGAAACGGTGACAGTCCAGTGAGAGAATGGTAGCTTCTCAATAGAGAAATCGGTGGTTCCAATCTCTGTGGCGACATGTACTTATCTACGACATTTGCCGGTATTTCACATGGCTACTTGTATTCGCTACAAATAAATGAGCCAAATAAGGAGTTCAAATAATAAATAATATGACATAGTGGTTTACTTGCGTATTTGCGTCTTTGGCTCGTTTGATGTGCGTCGACAAACCGACCAGCGCGCGGTTACGCGAGTTCGGTGTTTGCAGTATTTGTCGAATAGGCAAACAAGGAGAATACTTTGTCACACATGGTGATTGTTTGGCAAATGTATGAAATACGCACATACAAATAGCTATGTGAAGTGCCACCATAACTTCTAAGTTACGTACATTTTTCAATACTTTTTATTTTGGAATTTTCAATTTTGTTTTTATTTTTTTATTTCAAATTTAATCTGATGTAATCAATAGGAATTCAATATGTATTTTAATAGAATAATATATAAATAGTTTATTATTTTAATTATGTTGTTTTTAAGTGATTATGACGATGATGTTGGGCTGTAACTGACTCGCGTACTAGTCTTCTATTATTATAATAAAGTACGTAAATGTTAAGTATGTTAGGCTGTTGCTGAATCAACGAATGAATGAATATATAAATAACATTGACTTACAAATAAATGAACGACGGGTCTAATACAAAAACCACGAAAAAAATGTCCCAAGTCAACCCATTTAAACGTAG